ATGGTTAATGAGAAGAAGTAATAGTTAAACACTTGGAACATTGATTTCTGATTTGAATTCTCCAACACAGGGTAGCCCTGGGGGAAGGAGGGAAAAAAGCTTGCTAATTAACATTTGATTACTGATGCCACCTTCTTATTCCCCTTGCACCATCCGGTTTCAAGTGCTTTTTGTTCAAGAAGGATTTTTAGGAGGGTTTAGCTTGCATCTTAGTAAAACAAATCCATGTGCAACTACCATGTATGTACAATATGTTAAAAAAAAAAGAGGAAAAGAAATGGCATCAGATATGAAGTATGTGTTCAAAACCCACTCTGATTCAGAAGTGATTGGTTTCCTATCTACACAAGCCTTTCAGAACACCAGTGATTGCTAGGTAACTGAAAGTAAGTCCAGTCTGTATGCCTTATTTGATTTAAACACAGACATACAAATACTTATTTGTTCAATGCAGTTAATTAGCAAACTCTTAACCAGAAATATTACCAGATTGTGTGAAGTTCTTGGAGTTTACTGTTTGCTATATTTAAAATTTAACCAGAGATTTTTTTTAATGTAATAATGATAGGAAATGATGAGGTAGATTTGTGTAGCTGTAGTTTCAGGTTACTTTTTGTAAAGGATATAATGTGCCTTAGTATCTTAATGCAGAAAATTTAGAAACTGGAGAGCTTATTAATATGTCTTATAACACATGGCAATAATTTTTTTACTATATTAAAATGATGTGTGAAGCATCATGACCCAGATTACATAAGAAAGTGGTGAATAAATTAATAAACCTTTATACCTGTAACATGTAAACAGTAATATTCTAACAAAACTATAACTTCATTAATAGCATTTGGTTGAAGGAATTATTATTTGGGCTTTATTTTAAAATGAAATTTCATAAGGGTAAAACATTAATTAGCTTTTTTAAAAAGCATACTAAAAATAAAGACTTTTTTTCCACCCAAGAAAAAGTTTACTTAAATTGTATTTTAATCCTTTTTACATGAAATTATTTAGCTTTCCTCTTTTAAAAAAAATGTCTATTGGCTCTACTTTTCTTTAATACATTTGTCTTGGATATATTTAGTTCTTCCTTTCCTACAGCTAAGATTAACTACTTTTATAACTCTGGAAATTATATATGATCATGTTTTACTTTAGAAAAGTTTCACCAGTCTGTTGAGAGCAATAGCTAGGCTGAATTAGGATTAGAAATCTAGTTCTCTACCTTTCTTTATGCCACAACAATTCAGACTTTGTGACTTTTCTTTCTGTCATCAGCAAATCTATGGGTGACATTTTAAATTCTGAGTCTTTTTTAAAACAGTTTAACTCAACCAACATATAGCTCATAAGGAATAATTTTTATTATGTTACAATATTATCTACTAGCCTTAGATTCTTTTCAATTTGAATAGTTAAGGTTGCCTTAAAATTTAGATTTAGCAGTTACTTTTCCTGAGAAATAGTTCTCCTAAAAAAATCTGATGAGATTTAAAGTAAAACTTTCTCAAAATTTAAATAAATGAAAAGAAAAATTTGTGGAAGATAAGTATATTATGAATATACTTTTACATTCCATATTGAATATAATAAAATGTTTTTCCTTCCACTGCTGTTAACATCAAAATTGTCCTTTATTGAAGAAATAAGGTATTTGAAGTAGAAATTATTGCTTAGCTTTTTACATTAATTACAACATGCAAATTTATATTATTTAACAATAAAAAACAAGTAACAATGAAACAAAGTAGTACCATATTAAAGCTGTGCCTTTTCAAGTTAATATAATTTTTTAAAATATTTTCCCACTGAAGCAATGGATAATATTTAAATTATCTCTTAGAAAAACAGTTGAGGGAGCTAATTCTGGAAAAAGTTCCTGTCAATCTAGAACCATTGATCAATATACAGTGCAATTCATAGTGTGATTTTAATATTTAGCTGCTAACAAAACATTGTGATTCAAAATTTAGGTTAAATATGCTCATCAATAAAAATAACGGAATTTTTATATCTCTATTACTAAAATCATTTTTTTTGTGTGTTGTCACTGTGTTTCTAGAATCTTTTACGGTTACAGCATTGGTAAACATGAAATTATTTTTGAAAAACCAATTTGTTTTTATTTAGGTTGTTTAGTGATTGCAGTTTAATGCAAGATTCTTTTAACTTATTCTCATGTTACTGTGAGATTAAGTGAATTTAGACTTTGCATTGGAACAACCAAACATTAGCCTAATATGCTTTATATGGTACTCTGTCAGCCAAGTTCTCTCTGCATTAACCAGTTTATTCTATGACAAGTTGCTTAACAGATGTCATTCTAGGAAGAACAATGAAGCCAAATACTTGTGCAATGGCTAACATTACTCTAACTTTGATCACTTTTGTTCGACCCATCAGTCTGGCATTGTGCTTTATACCAACATAACACCATAGCCAGAACATGCTTTTCAGGCTTAGAATAGCAGAGGAATGTTATTTGGTTCAATGCAGTTACAGAGAAGTTAATGAAAGAAGAAAATACTATTTATTTCATACCATACTGTTGTATTTTGAAATTAAAGTAGAATCTAAAGAATTCCATTTGAAAGTTATCTTTATGTAATCAAACACCAATACTGAGATATCTTTATTCTCTTTCGGTTTTCCAAAATAGTTGTTGAAGTTTGGTGTATCTAAGCAATCTAAAAATAACTGGATTTTGCCTTGAGGCCAACTGCTTTCCCTTTCCTTTTTTAATATAATTCTTTGAGGTGTTTAAATCTTTCTTCTTAAGAGCACTAATGTTTAAGCATAACAGAATAGCCTCAACTAACTTGAGGTAAGCCCAGTTACATTTGGTTAAATTGTTGCCTTGACAATGACTGATGATGGTAATGATGGAACTTGATGCAACTATAAAACAAAGTACTGCATGGCAGACAGACAGACAGCTAATAAGAATTCTTGAAGAAAAGCTGTTTTCTTTGAATTGAATGGATCAAGCCATATTCCAGGCTTCTCAGATTTCATTTACTAAGTCCTTTCCCCCCCCCCCCCACAGTTGTACATTAGAGATAAAAATAGATTGAATTCCATGTTTTGATTCCTTTCTCTAGTGTATGTATATCTCTATTTCATTGGAAGGATAATTTAGATATGTATAATAAAGAGTAATGTTATAACAAAATGCTGTAATTGAATAATTTGATACTTCAGGTGTGTGTGTGTGTGTGTGTGTGTGTGTGTGTTTCTGTGTGTGTGTGTGTGTGTTTGTTTGGTACCAGGGATTGAATTCTCTTGGTCTACCACTTGAGCTACATCTTGTTTACCATATTTCTAATTAATTTGAGATAGACTCATACTTGGGCTGGCTTCGAACTATGATCCTCAGATCTCAGCCTAATGGGTAGCAGTGTAACTAATGTGAATCACCAATACCAATAAGGTTTCTGCATTTTAAAAAACAGCAACTAATGCTACTTGTTAAAGTATGAATGTGAATAATTTTATTGAAGTCTTAATTATAGAACTTATACAGAACATTTCAACACCAACACCATTTGTTAGAGTAGGATAATAATGTTATAACTAATTTGACGAATTAGTTAAGACGATAATTATCCATTGTTACAATTTATTAATTTATTTTCATTGTAAATGAATAATTGAATTTTGTTGGCTGTTCTGAACAAAAAGCTGAAGAAAAATATTAATTCATGCACTTCATACTGGGGATTGAACCTAGGGCTTTGGATATACTAAGCAATCAGTCATTTAAACTACATACCTAGTCTTTTTTGGGGGCGGGGCGGGGGTGCAGTGGTGTGGTCCCAATAACTGGCTTCTAACTTGGCATCCTCCAGTCTCAATCTCCTGAGTAGCTGTGATTACAGGTATGCCCTACAACACTTGATACTTCTTAATTACTGGACAACAAAGTTTAGCCTTCCAACACCTTAGTCTGATCATTTTCTTCCTCTCATTTTAAAGTGAAAGGTACAGTATTGCTTTGGAGAAAATGTGTTTAAAAAATCTTTAATAGCATTTATTGTACTCTAAGTACTTAAATATTATACTAAAAGATAGCTCTGGTGGCAGTAAATACTCTGTTGATTTTTTTTTTTTTTTTGGTGGGGCCTGAACTCTGGGCCTGGGTGCTTGAGCTCTTCAGCTCAAGGCTAGCACTCTATCACTTGAGCCACAGCGCCACTTCCAGTTTTTTCTGCTTATGTGGTGCTGGGGAATCGAACCCAGGGCCTCATGCATGCAAAATAAGCACTCTACCACTGAGTTACCTTCCCAGACCTAAAATTGTTTTTAATTTGGCTTTATATGAAAGAAATAGCCAATGTTGTTTTAGTAAGTGAATACTTACTTTAGTAAGTGAATACTAAAAAAGACAATTTCAACCCTTTATCACCCCAACTATAAACTACTTTATTCTTACTTGGGAGTTAGAAGTGTATTTATTTTTGTTGGAATTATTATAGTTTTAAAAATAAAGCATTTATAATTGTATCTTAATCTATAAGTGAACTGTCTACTCAATTTTTCTTCCTTTTTATTTTTCCCCTCCTTTTCTCTTATTTTTTTTTTTCCTTTTGGTTTTACTTTGGATAAGGTTGAACTCAGTGCCTCATACTTGGTAGCCAGGAGTTTTACAGCTTGATCAAAAATCCCAGTCCTTTTTGTTTTGGTTATTTTTGAGATAAGGTCTCCTTTTTGCCCAGGACCATACTGAACCTTGATCCTCCAATTTACTTTCTTTCATAGCTGGGATGACAGATGTGTTACCACTCTCAGCCTTTTATTGAACTATTATTTTATCATTCATTGAAATTCTTTTAAATTTGGATTCATTTTATTTTTACAAAATTTCTCAGACTTGCGTTTTTTTAGTTCCAAATTCTTGTTTTGAATCTAGAGGAAAATAGGAAATACATTGTATGACACATAAATTGAAAGTATCATAACTCATTTGGAAGCCCTGTTCTTATTACATTGTTTCTTTTTTGCAGGTAAAAAGAAATGTATATGACCTTACAAGTATACCCGTTCGACATCAGTTATGGGAGGGTTGGCCAGCCTCTGCCACAGATGACTCAGTAAGTGTTCAGTTTTAAATTCTGTTCTTTCTTTGGCCCTGGTAGTCTAATTGGCTTTAACGCCATGCTGAATCAAACACTTGAACATTCCATTGCAAGAATACTTCAAGTCTAATAATATGAAAAGAAGAGAAGTAATAATTTAAATTCACTTTTAAAATAGGTATTATAAGCCAAACACATCAACATTCTTCTTTTTTTAAAGGGATAAACCAAATTAATTTTATTTGCAAATAGGAGGAAAGCCATGGAAGAAGGTAGTGAAGCTATCAATCCTGAGAGTGGCCTCCGAGGGGAGTTCAATGAAGTTCTTTTATTGGGCTCTGCCCTTATCTTCTCCCCTGGGCTTTGCACTGATTGCTTGATGGCTTGTGCATGTGCCTCCCCAGCCCTTTCCAGTAGTTGAGGGGTACCCAAGGCCAGCCATTTTGTTGGAATGTTTCAATGTCAGTGTCAGGAACATTAAGCTGCTAGATTTGACTTAAAATTTTCCTTGATTGGGTAGAGTGGGAAAAGGTAGTTGTGGAGATGGAGGGAAGCAATGGTAGGGGAAAAACAAAGGACCAGGCAACAATGCTTGATAAGAAATGTACTCATTACCTTGCTCATGTGATTGTAATCCCTCTGTACAGTATTTTCACAATAAAGAACTTATTTAAAAAAATTCAAAGATGAGGGGCTGGGAAGGTGGCTAGGTGGTAGAGCGCTTGCCTTGCATGCCTGAGGCCCTGGGTTCGATTCCCCAGCACCACATAAGCAAAAAGAAAAAAAGCCGGAAGTGGCGCTGTGGCTCAAGTGGTAGAGCACTAGCCTTGAGCTGAAGAGCTGAGGGACAGCGCCCAGGCCCAGAGTTCAGGCCACATGACCAGACCTTCCCCCCCCCCCCCCCCGCCCCCCCAAAAAAACACAAACAAAAAAAATATCCTTGATTAGTAGAATATATTCAGATATTTCTAATGAAATGTTTTAAAAGATCCTTGATTATAAATGTTTAAAAATCAGCCTAATCATAATAAGTAATTGTGTGTGCATAGGTGCAAGTACATGTGTCAATCCTGGGTCTTGAACTCAGGTCTCTGAGTTTTTTTTTGCTCAATGCTAGTGCTCTGCCACTTAAGCCACAGCCTGCCTTTCAGCTTTTTGGTGCATAATTGGAGATAGGAGGCTCATGGACTTTGCTGCCTATTTTCAGCCACAGTGATTAGATTTCAGCCTTCTGAGTAGTTAAGATTACTGGCATGAGCCACTGGTGTCTAGCTACATATAATCTTATTAATTTATTTTTTTTGTTAGTCATGGGTGCTAACCCTCAGCTCTTCAGTTCAAGGCTAGGGCTCTACCACTTGAGCCACAGCACCACTTCCGTTTTTCTGGTGGTTTATTGGAAATAGAGTGTCAGAGACTTTCATGGCCAGACTGGCTTTGAACCGTGATCCTCAGATCTCAGCCTCCTGAGTAGCTAGGATTACAGGTATAAGCCACTGGAGCCTGGCTACATACAATTTTAAAATTTTTTTTATTATGAAAATACCGTACAGAGGAGTTACAATTACATGGGTACATACAATTTTTAAAACTACATTTTCAATACTCCACTAGTACTTTATAAAAAAAAGATAATTGACTGAATAATAGTGGTACTTGTCTGTAATTCCAGCTATTCAGGAGATTGATAAAATCACAGTTTAAGGCCAGCCTAGACAAAACTTGGAAATAGTGATTTATGACTGTAATTCTAATAAATACATAGAAGGAGTAAGGATTTCAGCTTGAGGCTGGCCAATGGCAAAAGTACAAGACTCTAACCAAAGAATAACCAAAAGCCAAACAGTAGGTGGATCTGGAGGAAGAGCTCAGTCACTTGAGTGCTAGAAACTGGGTGCACTGAGCTCAAACTCCAGAATTACCAAAAGAAAAACAAAACAAAATCTACAGTTAGTAAAAACTCTATGCTTAAATAGATCCACAATATTTACTACCATAGAAAGACTGAGAGAAAAGATTTAGGCTTTTTTTTTTTCATTTACTTGCAGTTTTTCATTTATTTAATAAGATATACTCGACTCAATTCTATGTGCATTTTATGTATAAGTCCTTAATAAAACTACATACATGCTTTTTTTTGTTAAAAAGTTATTAACATTACTGAATTATTTATTTATTTAGTTGTTGGTTGTGGGGCTTGAACTCTGGGCCTGGGCACTGTCCCTGAGCTCTTCAGCTCAAGGTTAGCACTCTACCACTTGAGCCCAACAACACTTCCAGTTTTCTGGTGATTTTTTGGAGATAAGAGTCTTATAGACTTTCCTGCACTGGCTGGCTTTGAACCACAATCCTCATCTCTCAGTCTCCTAAGTAGCTAGAATTACAGGTGTGAGCCACCGGTGCCTGGCAAATAACTGATATTTTTGCGTCAGAACTAGGGCTTAAACTTATGGCCTTACACTCTGACAAAGCAATTTTTACTCCCAACTAACCCACTATTACATGAACCACATCTCACTTCTGGCTTTTTGCTGTTTGATTGGAGATAAGAATCTCAGTTTCAACTAGGCTTTATTTTTTAGCAGTTGTAGTTATTTGTAGTGTGTTTGTTGATTAAAAAAATTTTTTGAAACCTTTTGTATGTCTGCCTTCTTTCCAGTAACATTCTTTTCTAGGAGAATAAATTTATTATCAAAGGAAGCCAACTGAGCTAAGTTTTGACCACCTTTTCCCAATATTGTTTTAAATAGACATTTTGAAAACAAGTAAAAACGAGAATTTGAAGTTAAATAATTTTTTTTTTTTTTGTCGGTCGTTGGGCTTGAACTCTGGGCCTAGGCGCTGTCCCTCAGCTCTCCAGCTCAAGGCGAGCACTCTACC